GTGGGTGTATGTATGTGTGGATGTGTGTGGATGTGTATATGTATCTGTATATGTGTTTGTGTGTGTATATGTATGTGCATATGGGCATGTATATATGTGTGGATGTGTATATGTATGTGTGTGGATGTGTATATGTGTGTGTGTGGATGTGTGTGGATGTGTATATGTGTGTGTGTGTGTATCTGTGTGGATGTGTATATGTGTATGTGTGTGTGTGTGAGGATGTGTGTGTATCTGTGTGGATGTGTATATGTGTGTGTGTGTGTATGTGCATGTGTGTGTGTAGATGTATGTATGTGTGTGGATGTATGGATGTGTGTGTGGATGTGTGTGTGTGGATGTGTGTATATGTATGTGCATATGTGCATGTATATCTGTGTGGATGTGTATATGTGTGTGTGGATATGTATATGTGTGTATGTGTGGATGTGTATATGTGTATGTGTGTGTGTGTGTGGATGTGTATATGTGTATGTGTGTGTGTGGATGTGAATATATGTGTGTGTGGATGTGTGTGTGTGGATGTGAATATATGTGTGTGTGGATGTGTGTGTGTGGATGTTTATGTGTGTGTGTGTGGATATGTGTGTATGTGTGTGTGGATGTGTGTGTGTGTGTGGATGTGTATATGTGTGTGTGGATGTGTGTGGGGGGGATGTGTATGTGTGTGTGTATATGTGTATGTGTGTGTGCGTGTGTGTGTGTGGATGTGTATATGTGTATGTGTGTGTGTGTGCATGTGTGTGTGATAGAGCTGAGATCATGTTGCTTGTATCTTTTGTCACATAACACCCTGACATCTATACGTCCTCTGCAAATATGCTGCTCAGTCATCCCCACCCCCCGGAGCAGCTGGCGAGGGGTCAGCTGCTTCTTCCTGCCCGGACGCCAGTGCTCACATGACCCCGCTTTCTCTAAGACCCCTTGGCCTTCCTCCTGCTCACGGGGCCTGCAGAGGGTCAGTGGTGGGAAGATGAGGCCGGCCGTGCCCCGGGAATGCACTTGGACCTCAGGTGCCAAGGAACAGGTTTGGGAAATGCTCTGTGCAGGGGCTCCCGGCTGGGGCCCCTGGAGTGAGAGAAATCCGGGTGAGGCTTCGGGTTCTGAAGCTGCAACTTCTCGGCTGGCAGAGAGGCACGTCTCTGAGGGCCTCCGGGAGGGACACGCAGTCCTCCCAGATCAGCGGTCCACGATGGGGGTTCAGCCATCTCTAGGAAGTGAGAGCATCTCCCCAGCACCGGGCTTGCCAGGTAGATAAAGAATGGCTCCTGGCTGTGCCCTGGAGCTGTGCCCTGGGTTGGGGGGTGGGGGAGTCCAACCACAGCCTGGCTTCTCCTGGGGCAGCGAGGGTGGTGGGGAGGAAGAAGAGGCAGATGCCAAGACCACTCTGCCCCGGGCAGCCCTCGGACGCCTCAGCCCTGGGAGGGGCAGGGAGGACCTGCACCCAGGGAAGCCCCAGGCAACAAGTGCCCCAGGGGCTCGGCTCTCAGAGCGGCGGGGAGCCCAAGGCCTGGAGGTGACGGGGAGCCGGGTGGGAGGTCAGAGCATCTGTGCTTCTGTCTCCCCTGCCCCTTGGTTCCCTCAAACCTGAAAACAGGCAAGCTGGTTTCCAAGATGCTGTCTAAGAAACACCACTAGGAAGGGAGTCTCCAGGGAAAGGGCCACAGGGACCCTTACCTTCAACTCCCTTGCTGTTGCTGTTCAGTCACTCAGTCGTGTCCGGCTCTTTGCGACCCCACTGACGGCAGCACGCCAGGCCTCCCTGTCCATCACCATCTCCTGGAGTTTGCTCAAACTCATGTCCATCGAGCCGGGGATGCCATCCAACCATCTCATCCTCTGTCATCCCCTTCTCCTCCTGCCTTCAATCTTTCCCAGCATCAGGGTCTGTTCCAATGAGTCAGCTCTTTGTATCAGGTGGCCAAACGATTGGGGCTTCGGCTTCAGCTCCTTCTTTGGGGTGTTGCAGGAAGTGGTGGGGGCAGGTCACGAGATGGAGGCTGAGCAGTGGCAGTCAGAGACCCGGCAGGCTGACCATGGAGCCACGAGAGGCGCTGAAAGTCAGGGCTCTGGGAGGGGGTTCGGGCCGGGGGTTCGGGCCTGGGCAGATCATTCCAGCAAGGGACCCCAAAGCCAGGGCCACCAATGGCGCTCAGCGGAGGCCCGACCTGCCTCCTCTTTGCAATGGAGGCCCCGCTGCCTTCCCTGCTGTCTGCAGCTTTCTCTAGGGTGAGGTGAAGATGACGGATGTGGAAGGGCTTCTGTCCGCCATAAAGCACCCTACAATGTGCACTAATACTATTATTATTGCTGTAATTATTGTTATCCCAAGTGCCCAAAGATGATGGACGGCCTGTGGGGGGAGTCCAATCTGCCAAGAAATCCTCATATTTCAGGGCGAAAATGCTTTGAAATCTGAGGAGGAAAGAGGCTTAGAACCAAAGGCATTTGATTATCATTGCATTTGAGTCTACACACATAAGACCTGACTTCGTTCAGAAAAGTCACCCACGAAAAATTAAGTCGAGATTTCCCTCCATCCCTTGCTGCGTTCATCAGCTCTGGGGCTTAAGAGATGTAAAGTACAGACTCCAATGGGGAAGAGGCCTTCTGGAAGTTCTGGTTCAGCAGGCAGCCAGCAAGCACCCCTCCCCACTCCCACCAACAGCCTGGAGCTTAGAAAACGGAAGTTGAATTGTTATTCAATGCCCTTCCCAGCCCAGCTCCCACGCAGCTCATGGGTGTCCCTGCCAAGGTTGGCTGGAAGGTTAGACCCCCGTGGCCCTGTGGCTGCGGGTGCCTGGAACCCAGGTCAGAAACTGCAGAGGCTGGACAAGAGCCTGCAGTCCCCGGGGGGGGCGGCAGGGCCAGGCTGGGGGGCTGAGCCCCGACCCCGCCCCCCCCCGCCCCCTCCCCCCGGCTCACTGACCCCGCATGGCCGAGACCACCTGTGACCGCCTGCCCTCCCTGCAGGGCGAGCTGCTGGCTCTAGTGAGTGAATGAGCCAAGGCGCCCATGGGCAGCCAGCTGTGGGTCCTCAGGTGGGGGTCTGGGCCACAAGAAGCCCCTCCAGCAGGAACTAGTCATCAGCGTCTCCCACCTGCAGGGAGCTGGGCGAGTGGAGCCCGTTGCTCGAATCAGGCCGCGCGCTCATCGCCCACCTCAACCTCCAAAGCTCCTTGGCCCCTTAGGCCGCGGGCATGGCTCCAAGACCTGGAGCTGGGCTCTGCTCTTTGTCCTTGTGGCCGACTGCGTGGTCAGTCTTCAGCTCCTCCAGACCTCCAAGGGAAGCGGGAAGCTCTTCATGCAATGTGGCAGGTGACCCAAGGCCTGGGGCACCGTGACTGGCCAGGGAGGGATGCAGGGCCACCCCGGACACCCACCAGGAGGCCCAGCGAGCTCCCGCCAACCCCACTGAAGTCATTGACTCGGGGATGCTGGTCAGCGGGGCGCCTGGACCCCAGGACAGGGAGCAGAGCTTTGCCCAGACCCCTCTGGATGGCAGACACTGCCCCGGGGCTGGGCGTGCAAGGGGCTGACTTCCCAAGACCTTTCTGGGTCTTATTGGAGGAGCCAGCCCCCTAATCAGGTGTGCGTGACATCCTCTTCTCACATACCCCCTGGGACGAGGCTCTGCTGAGGTCTCACCATTCCCAAGCAGGCAGTGGGACTGGTGTGGCTGGGCAGAGTCCCCATAGCATCCTCGCCTGCAGCTGGGAGGCCCCAGGCCCTCAGAGCACAAGAGACTTCCACCCAGACCCCACAAGGCTGCTCCCCGCAGGGCGGTGCTCGGGCTGCTGCTGCGAAGGACCGGAGGTGGGCCGCTAAGAAAGGGGGGACTCATTCTCTCCCAGGTCCCTCTCATCAAGGTGTCAGCAGGACCTTGCCCCCACCACAGGCCTAGGGAAGGAAACTTCTGGTCCCTCCCAGCTCCTGGAGGCTTCAGGCGTCTCCGGGCTTGTGGCCGAATCACTGCCGCCAGTGTCTGCCTCCATCTTTACGTGGCTTCTCTTCCACCTGGGTCAGATGTCCGTCTGGGTCCCTTGTTCGAGGACCCTTGTGACAAATCGGGCCTCTGGATAACCCAGGGTCTCCCTCCCATCTTAGCATCCTTCATTACATCTGCAAACACCATGCTTCCATGTAACTTCACATTTACAGGATCCAGGGGTTGGACCCGTTATCTTCAGGGGCCGCAGCAGGCCGAGCAGACCCAGCAGGAGCCCCACAAAAGCAGGACCCCGGGGCCCAAGGCCGACATCACAGACTCTCAATGAGCCATGCTCTGCGGCCGTTTTCCAGCTTGATTGGTGTGAAATGGATCTGGCTGGGGGGACATCCCAGGAAACGGAGGGTCTAAGAACACCTCCCGTCCGTGCAGGGCATGCCAGCTCCGGAGCCGGGGCGCGACCGCACGCATCGTCCTCTCCGCACAGCCCCTGGAGAAGGCGAGTGGCCCCGGGCTCAGGTCAGCCCGCCACCTAGCCACGGAGGGGCCACCCCTCCAAGCCCCGGGCTGGCTTTGCAGCTGAGAAGCCAACCCGCAAATGTCCACACCCAGCCCAGACCACCGGTGGCCGGGACCCAGAGAGACAGCCCTCTCTGGACACGCCCTTCTGAGCGTCCTTCCGGGAGCAGAGGGTGCCTCTCGCCGGCACCTGGCACCCTAGCCCGCGGGCAGCCAGGGGTGGCCGTCCTCCCTGTGATGGGCCCGCATGTCAGGGCAGCAGATGGGCGCTGCTGCTGGCCGGAGGCACGGGGCTCCCGACCCCAGGCCTGGCGGATAGGCACCGCTGCGCATCCTCTGACGTGCCCGACCTCCGGGTCTACTCAGGGGGAAACTTCCTCCCCTGCACCCCTCCACAACAGAGAGAGGCCGTGGGATTTCAGCTGGGGCTGGGGGCTGGTGGGGGTCTGCCGCTGAGAGCCTGTAGCTTCACCCCTAAGCGGCTGAAAGCACCTCCCCGGGTGAACGGTGGCTGGAAGGTGGCTGGAAGCACCTCTGCCCTTCCTCTGCCCCAAGAGCATAGGCTGGCCCAGGGGCGGGAGCTGGGCAGAAAGGCTGGGCAGCCCTTGGCCCTTGTCCACCCCTCCCGAGTTGGGGTGATGGTGCATCCGGCCTGGGCCCAGGACCCTCTGGACAGCAGATGCTTCCGAGGCTCAGGGAGAGGCTGCAGGTGGGTCTGGAAATGCTGTCTGTCTGGGTGGCTCATGGGAGGAAAAAGCAGGTGGGACCCCTGGCCAGTCTCCCTGGTGACCTCAAATGTCTGTCTGATGGTAATCCAAAGCATTGAAGGGCCTGGCCCGCAGCAGGGTGGGGTCCCCGTGGACAGGATCCGGGCCCCGGGCAGCGCGGGCTCGGTCAGGGCAGTGGTCCCAGTGGACAGGATCCGGGCCCCGGGCAGCCCGGGCTCGGTCAGGGCAGTGGTCCTAGTGGACACGGTCCGGGCCCCGGGCAGCCCGGGCTCGGTCAGGGAAGTGGTCCCCGTGGACACGGTCCGGGCCCCGGGCAGCCCGGGCTCGGTCAGGGCAGTGGTCCCCGTGGACAGGGTCTGGGCCCCATGCAGAGCAGGGTCCATCAGGGCAGTGGGGTCCAGGCCCCGGGCCGGGCGGGCTCCGTCAGGGCGTTGGTGGCAGCAGCGGCTGCCATCAGCCGGGTCTCATCTTGGTGAGCACGGGGCCGGAGAGAAATGGAAAAGCAAGTCTTGTTTCCGAGGAATTTATCAGCCACGTAACACGTGCCAGGAGCGCTCGGCAGGAGCGAGATGCCTGGTCTGGATTCAGGTTGTCGCCTCTACGCACCGTCTCGAGTCTTCGCCTCTGTGGACGCCTTTTTATTCGTGTTTGTGTAACTGCTGGGAGGAGGTGGCCGTGAACCTGCTGTTAGCCATGCTTCCGTCGCCCTCCATTCTGCAGGCTCCAGACTCAGTCCCTCCCCTAAACCTGGTGCAAGACGCCAGCAACGGGGTGTGGCAGAGACCCCACTGGGGCAGACCCCCCACTAGGGCAGACCCCCCCACTAGGGCAGACCCCCCACACCAGGGCAGACTCCCCATACTGGTGCAGATGCCCCACATCAGGGCAGACCCCCACACTGGGGCAGACCCCACACTGGGGCAGACCCCCCACTAGGGCAGACCCCCCCACTAGGGCAGACCCCCCACACCAGGGCAGACTCCCCATACTGGTGCAGATGCCCCACATCAGGGCAGACCCCCACACTGGGGCAGACCCCACACTAGGGCAGACCCCACACTGGGGCAGACCCCCCACACCAGGGCAGACTCCCCATACTGGTGCAGATGCCCCACATCAGGGCAGACCCCCACACCAGGGCAGACCCCCCATATTGGGGGCAGACCTTCTCACACTGGGGAAACCCCCCCACACCAGGGCAGACCCCCCACGCTGGGCCGACTCCCCACACCGGGGCCGACCCCACCACCAGGGCAGGTGTCAGGAGGGAGGCCCCCCTGGGGCACTGGAGCCCAGGGGGTCTCTCCAGGGTGGGGTACTGCAAGCGCAGAGGACTTGGGGGGTCAGATCTCGGCTATCAGCAGAGCACCTTTCTCTCCTTCCTCTAGAGGTGCTTTTCAGAGAAGCACTTGACATTTCACTTCCCTTTCTTGTCGCGGAGGTCAGGCAGTGCTTCCTGAAAGCTTCGCCGCTCATCCATGGGGAGTTTGCACTGTGGAGCCTCGGAGGCCCTGGGGCTCCGGACGAGGACGCAGTTCCACACCCCTGGGCCCAGCGCCGCCCCCGGGGGCCACCCTCGCACTTGCTGCCCGGTCCCAGGCCCCTGCCCACCCCCCCTCGAGCCCCACCAGACTCCCAGGACCTGGAATCCAACTCTGGTCCCGGGAGGCTGAGGAGGAGGGGCCCTCACGCCTTCAGGATGGCCAGCACCACCTCGTGGATGCTCGCCAGCAGACACGGCCGCGATCGGCCAGCATCTCTGGCTCCTTTCCTCTGTAGGGTCCCTGAGCTGGTGTGACCTCACCCATCACTCAAGGATCGAGTCCATTTCCGCAGCTGCCCTGACCTCTGTTTTCCTGCTTCATGGGAGTCTGATCAGGGTTCACTGAGACACCCCACCTGGGACGTTTAACCAGATGCAGAGCCCGAGGTGAGAACTTAAAAGATGGCAGCCATTATCAGTTCTCTTTGCCTTTTTGTATTGTTCATGGCGTTCTTGCTGCAAGAATACTGGAGTGATTTGCCATTCCCTTCTCCAGTGGACCACGTGAATATTCATTGGAAGGACTGATGCTGAAGCTGAAACTCCAATACTCTGGCCACCTGATGGGAACCACTGACTCATTGGAAAAGACCCTGATGCTGAGAAAGATTGAAGGCAAAAGGAGAAGACAGTGGCAGAGGATGAGCCAGTTGGATGGCATCACTGATATAGTGGACATGAACTTGAGCAAACTCCAGGAGATGGTGAGGGACAGGGAGGCTTGGCGTGCTGTAGTCCGTGGGGTTGCAAAGAGTCAGACATGATTTAGCGACTGAACAACAAATCCGTTGTCTTATGTACTATTTTATTGGCTGTGATTTATTATTACTGTCATTGTTATCACTGGTCCATCCGATGAAATGAGGGGCCGCTTTCTGGCGCCTGGAGAACAGGGTGAGACTCCTCCAAGACTAGGATGGGCTGGAGAAGAGGTTCCTGAACCTCTCGGGCAGACAGGGCCAGGCCTGGACAGGTGGGTGGACACCCAGAATGCCTGCCCGTGTGACCCTCAGGCGAACAACCAGGGCCCTGTGGTACTTGGTTGTGCTTGGATTTTTGTTTGCCTGGAATTTAAATTTTTGGGGGATAATGTTGACACGATTCAAGGGAAGCAGCTGTCAGTCAGGCGAGTTGTGTGTTTGGTGTGCTGGGGGGACCTGTTTTTTTATTAAAACATCTTTATTTCCATACATTCACAGACTCACCATGCATCCATTTCGAGTGTACAATTCCACAGTTTTTAGCATATTTGCAGACAAACACAACCGTCACTACGGTCATTTTCGGGAACTTTCATCGACTCAGAAAGGAGTCCTGTCCCCACTGGCTGTCGCTCACTGGCCCCGCCCTCCGTCCTCAGCAGCCGTCACTCGGCCTTGTGTCCAGAGGAATCCCCTCTCCTGGGCATCTCGCAGGAATGGAGTCGTGTGAGGCATGGTCTGTAACGGGATCCTTCGCTTCCCGTGCTCTCCAGCTTCATCCATGCTGTCCCAGGTGCCAGGGCCTCACACCTTGTCATGCTAATGAAGCCTTTCGTGTGGATGAACCGCATCTGTTTATCCAGCCATCGGAGGTGGCGGCAAGGGCTGTCTCTGCGACCTCAGCCTGCTGCCTGCCCTTGGCACGCCCAGCCCAAGCTCAGCAAAGAACCCTGATGAAAACCAAAGGGCATCCTCCCCTCCCCCAACACCGGTACCCGCTCCAGCCCCGCTCCGTCCTCAGTGTTGGCCTTTGGCAGGAGCCGTGACAGGTTCAGGCCAGGCCAGGTCAGCAGAATTCCCCACCTAGTTATCCAGTCAGCTCCTCTCAGAGACCTCCACCCCCCAACCCCACCTCCTGTCCCCCCCGACCCTGGGGGTCCAGCCCCGCAGTCTTGCTCTGCTCAGAGCTGAGCTCATTTCTGCCCCACAGCCTCTCTCCCCAACTACAGTGACTTGAGCCAGGTCTGTCTTGCTGTTTTTAACACGCTCCCGGTGCAGAAGTTCTTTGCCAGCAGACATCCGGTCTGTCCCGCTCTAGGTCAAGTTCCCACCTGCTGCTCTAGCATTTGAGGACAGGATTCGGCGTGGACACGTGTTTCCGTTTTTCTTAGGTAGTTGTGTAGGAGTGGAATTTCTGGGTCCTATGGCTGAAATTCCGATGTCACAGACATCCTGTATTTTATCTGGCAGCCCCAGGCCCCGCCCAAGCACGTGTCTTATGGTGGGACAGGGTGACCGCTTCCGCTGCGCCCTCATGTGCTGAGGGTTAGGGTTCTGGTCCCCCAAGACTGGAGAGAGGCCAACGCCAGGGATTGACAGTCACAGCTCTGGGTCACGGGCTGCTGGTCTGCATACAGGTCATCTGGTGGCCCCTGCCGTCATCTGCCTCATCTCTGGGCCAGGTGGCCCAGTCCTGGGGTCCCAGGGACCCTGGAGGACCTGGGCAAAGCTTGCAAACAGGAGGGGAGACTTGCTTTCAGACACCCACCCTGGGCCCCCAGCCCCAGCGTGGCCAGCCCAGTAGATACAGGACAAGTTTCTCAGGCACGTTTATCAGGGTGGTCTGCCCCGGGTGGCCAGCGCACAGCTCCTCAGACAGGCTTCGGCAACAGCGACAACAGCGACACTCTGCCTGTTCAGAGGCTGGACGTCCAGCCAGGTGCGGGCAGGGCTGGCTCCCCGGCCTGCTCCCTCCTCGCGGGGCCCGCAGATGCACCTCCCTCCCTGCCTCCCACTCAGCCTCCATCTGTCTCCACACCTTTCTGGTGTCTCTTCTCATAAGGACACCAGTCAGCTGGGTTTAGCCTGCCCTAAAAACCTCATTTTAACTTAGCCACCTCTTTTGACTTTATCTCCGAGTCCAGTTACACACTCAGATCCTCGGGTTAGGACCTCAAATACAGGAATCTTGGGGACACAACCATCCTGTGCCTCTGTGCTAAGTCACTTCAGTCGTGTCCGACTCTTTGCGGCCCCACCAGGCTCCTCTGTCCAAGGGATTCTCCAGGCAAGAATGCTGGAGTGGGCTGCCATGCCTCCCTCAATTCATCCTGGAGCACGAACCAAACCTGGGAGCGGTGCTGGGTGTCTCCCTGGGGATGGGCTGCTTTTCTGGAAGGGAGAGGACTCTGGTAAAGACCCATTTACGCACAGGAGGAAGATGAGGGGAGAGACTGGGGGAGGGAGGAAGAAAGATAGGACGGCAGCCCACAAGGGGTGGACACGGGTGAGCCAGGCCTCGGGGTTCCCGAGAGGCAGGGCGGCCGGCCTGCCTCCCAGCGCGGACCTGGCTCCAGGCACCCGGGCGAGGCAGCTGTGTGGGCCCCCGGTTCTAAATCAAGACTGTAACGAGGGCAGCCCAGCCTCTCTTCTCTAATTAAGGCTGTGCGGAAACAGAAAGCGCCCCTGTAATTCAGCCCCGGCCCCTTCTTTGTCATCTTAATTAAGGTTAGGGCTACCGCGGCTTAGACGGCTGCCATTGTTAGCACTAAATCAAATGCCGTTTTAGGATACGGGCCGCTTGAGAGTGAGGAATGGCAGGGCTGAGAAATAAATATTTGAAAAGGGCAGAGAAGCTGTGAAATTGCCTGCCTTTGCCTCATTAGCATGGATCCAGGCTCCGTTTGTCTGAAGCTCTCGCTCCTCAGGACCCCGCCGTGGAGCTGCCCGCGGCCGAGGCTCCCACGGTCAGCGCCCCGGGGTGCAGAGGGCAGGCTGGGCTGCCACAGCCCCTGGGGGAAGTGGGGATGGCTGCCAGGTGGAGAAGTCGCCATAAGCGGACCTGCGGGCCTTCCAACTCTGATGCCCGGGTTTTTAATTGCTGGTTCCTTTTTGGGAGCAGGTCAAAAGCCCTTCTGAAGGGGAGGCCCCCAAGGGACACCAGATTCTCATGAATAGATGGTAGGTGATGAGTGCATGCCACATGGCATTTCGGCGGAGTCTGGGCCCCGGGGAGAGGCCCCTTGCCCGGTGAGTCTACAGAAGCACTGCTAATAAAATAGGTCCCTCTCGTAAAAATAAAAGTCGTTGTCAGTGGTGAAAACTGACGAGCCCCAACTCAGCCAGGTGGTCAAGGTCAGGGTCAGCAGAGATGAAGCTGATGACTTGTGTTGACAGCAGGTACCCTTGATAAGATGGGGAACCTCACCTCTGTGGCCTTTCTCCCCAAACCCACCACCCAAGTGCAAACTGCAGACGGAGGGAGCTGGCCCAGTGACCCAGGAACATTGCCCCAAAGCCACTGATGTGAGAACACCAGACCAGTCCCAGCTGAGGGCAGTTTACGAAACTCCCGCCCAGCCCTCCTGACCTTCCCGAGGCCATGACCAAAGACAATGAAAGCCTGAGGAAGCGCGCCAGCCCAGAGGAGCCCAAGGGGGCCTGACAGCTAAGAGCCCTGAGGGCCCCTCGGGGCCCCGGGACAGAGGAGGACATTGGGAAGACACTAGTGGGACCCGAGTCAAGTCTCAAGTCCAGTGAGGAACGGCTCTGTGGAGGAAAACAACTCTCCCAGCCAGAACCAGTTGCCCATTATCTTTTTTTCTGGTTGATTAAAGTATAGTTGATGCACAATATTATATAAGCTGGGCTTCCCAGGTGGCTTTAGTGGTAAAGAACCCGCCTTTCACTGCAGGAGATGTAAGAGACCTGGGTCAGATCCCTGGGTCGGGAAGATCCCCGGGAGGACGGCATGGAGACCCACTCCAGTATTCCTCCCTGGAGAACGGAGGAGCCTGGCGGGCCGCAGTTGTTAGCGTTGCAGAGGGTTGGACACGACTGAAGCGACTAAGACCGCACAGCACGTTATACGCTACAGGTGCACGGTGTGGGGATCCGCAGTCTGACAGGTTATGCCCCACGCGTGGTTCTTGTACAATGTTGTCTATATTCCTTATGATGCACACTGCATCTTGTGGCTGCTTTTACGTATCTGTTGCACCACCGAATCCTCTTCCCCTGCGTCCGCCCCCCTCCCCCTCCCCACTGGAACCACTGGTTTCTTCTTTGTCTCTGAGTCTGGTTCTTTTTCGTTATTTGTTGTTGTTCAGTCAGTGAGTCGTGTCCGACTCTGCGACCCCATGAACTGCAGCACGCCAGGCTTCACCATCCAAACTATGTCCCAGAGTTTGATCAAATTCACGTCCATTGAGTAGGTGATGCCATCCAAGATCTCATCCTCTGTCACCCCCTTCTCCTCCCGCCTTCAATCTGTCCCAGGATCAGGGTCTTTTCCAATGAGTCGGAACTTCGCACCAGGTGACCAAAGTACTGGAGCTTCAGCTTCAGCATCAGTCCTTCCAATATTCAGGGGTGATTTTCTTTAGGATGGGCTGGTTTGATCTACATGCAGTCCAAGGGACTCTTAGGAGATTTCTCCAACACCACAGTTCAAAAGCATCCACTCTTCGGTGCTTAACCTTCTTCACGGTCCAAGTCACATCCATACATGATTGCTGGAAAAACCATAGATTTGCCTGTACAGTCTTTTGTCGCCAAAGTGATGTTTCTGCTTTTTAATACACTGTCTAAGCTTGTCATAGTTTTCCTTCCAAGAAACAAGCGTCTTTTAGTTTTATGGCTGAAGTCACTGTCTACTGTGATTTTTTTTTTTGTTATATTCACTAGTTTGTTGTATTTTTAGATTCCATGTATAAGCAACATCATACGGTATTTGTCTTTCTCTGTCTGACTTAACAATCCAAATCTATTCATATAGTTGTAAGTGGTAAAATATTCGTTTTTTAATGACTGAGCAGTATTCCATTGTGTGTGTATCTTCTTTATTCATTCATCTGCTGATGGACACTTAGGTTGCTTCCACATCTTGGTATAAATAAGCTGCTGTGAACATTGGGGTGCATGTATTTTTTCAAACAACGCACTATCGGAAAGAGAAATTAGGGAAAGAATCCCATTCACTATCACATCAAAAAAAAAAAATAAAACACCTAGGATGAAACCTACCTAAGGAGGTGAAAGATCTGTACTAGGAAGACTGTAAGATGCTGGTGAGAAAAAACTGAAAATGGCGCAAACAGATGGAAAGATACACCTTGTTCTTGAAATGGAAGAATTGATATTTTTAAAATGACCATACTATCCAAGGCAATTTACAGAGTCGATGCAATCCCTATCATAGTACTGGTGGGATCTTTCACAGAACGAGAACAAATAAGTTAAGAAAGTTTGTATGAAAACACAAAAGACCCCCAAGGGCCAAAACAATCTTGAGAAACAAGAACAGAGGGAGAGGAACCTTGGCTCCTGACTTCAGCCTAAACCACAAAGCTACAGTAATCAAAACCATGTGGTAGAGGAAGAAAAACAGACTCAAGGTCAATGGGAATAGGATAGGAAGCCCAGAAATCAACTCACACACCTGCGGACAGCTAGTCTATGGCAAAGGTGGCAATAATATTCAATAGAGAAAAGAGAGTCTCTTCAAAAAATGGTGCTGGAAAAAGTAGATGATTACATCTAAAAGAAGGAAATTAGAGTATTCATTCTGAAATGTCATACACAAAAATAAAGTCAGAATGGATTAAAGGTCTAAATGTAAGATCTGATACTATAAACTCCTAGAGGAAAACAAAGGCATAACACTTTTTGACTTGAATCACGGAGTTTTTTTTTTTTTTCTCCCTGGAACCACCTCTTAGAATAATGGAAATAAAAGCAAAAATAAAGAAATGAGACCTAATTAAACTTAAAAACTTTTGCACAGCAAAGGAAACCAGCGGTAAACGGAAAGGCAACCTACTGGACGGGGGGAAATATCTGCAAACAATACGACCCATCAGGGGTTAGTATCCAAAATACAGAGACAGCTTTTACAGCTCAACATCAAAATAAATGAATAAACAGCTCAGTTGAAAACCGAGCAGAAGACCCAAATAGACATTGTTCCAAGGAGGACATGCAGATGGCCAATAGGCACATGAAAAGAAGCTCAGCATGGCTAGTCATCGGGAGATGCAAACCAAAACCACGCCTGTCAGAACGGCCCTCACCAGAAAGAACACGGACAATGAGTGTGGGTGAGGACGCGGAGGAAAGGGAACGCTGTGCGCTGTTGGTGGGAATGGAACCTGGTGCAGCCACTGTGGAAAACAGGAGGTTCCGGAGGAAAGTCCAAAGCGAGCGACCTTGCGATCCAACAGTCCCACTCCTGGGCACGCGCTGGCCACTCCTCACCGTCCTCCGTGGGCAAAGGGACCCGATAAACGCTCCCGAAGCCACCGACATGAGCTCTGCAGCTGGCGTCTGAGGCGCCATTTATCCCCCCCAGTGTCCTGCTAGTGTTTAAGGGCAGGCTCCACCTGCCGCAGTGCTCTGCTCCTCCTCACATCCTGGGCGTTCTGTCAGCTGCACGCGGGACCGCCCATCGGCCAGGTGCGTCCAGGCGCGCCCTCTGAGCTGCTGCGAGCGCCGCGTGGGCTCCTGTGACTTCCGCAGGGCGCCCTGGGACAGGTACTGCTGCTCCCATCTGGGGGGCTGTGCACACACAGGGCCACCAGGAGGCCTGAAGGGAACGGTGGAGGACCTGCGCGTGCAATCGACAAAACCCCAGGAGCAAACCACTGCCGGAAAGTGAAGCTGCCTTTAAAAACTAGGAAAACACTGGGGATGATAAATGACACCTTTAGATGCCAGCTGCACCGCTTATGTCAGTGGCTTTGGGAGCCTTTATCCGGTGCCTTTAACAACAGGTGCTGCAGTTCCCGGTCCCGAGGACCTGAGGCCGTGGCTAATGGGCCTGCCCCAGGGGGAGCCGTGGGAGCCCCACCTGTGCATGGGTTTACCTTGAGGCAAAGACCTGCAGATGGAGAGGCCACCAGCAGTGAATGGGAGAAGCCAGGTCCTCAGTTGCCAGAGAAGTGGGAGGGAAAGAAGACGCAAGACCACGCACCAAACGTGCAGACTCTGGGGCCACCCAGCTCTCCTGAACCGGAGTCTGAGGCCCAGGAATCTGCCTGTTTAGGGGGCTCCTGAGGTACCCTCACACCTGTCAACACGGCGCTGGTGGGCACTGGCCGCGTGGATTCCAGCCCAGCCTGATGCTGGGGGCGCGCGTGTCCACCGGCCGCGGGGATTCCAGCCCAGCCTGATGCTGGGGGCGCACGTCCACCAGCCGCGTGGATTCCAGCCCAGCCTGATGCTGGGGGCGCGCGTGTCCACCGGCCGCGTGGATTCCAGCCCAGCCTGATGCTGGGGGCGCGCGTGTCCAGCTCTGGTGCCTTAGGTGGACGTCGCTCTCCTGTCTGCCCGCCTGCCCGCCTGAGGACCCTGGCTAGGAGCGCCCCTAATGAGGCTGCCCGGGAGTGCCCCCTGCCTTGCGGCTCTTGCAGACCCAGGGCCGCCTCCTCCACCATTCCCTTCGGGCTGCTGGGTAACTGTGTGTGTGCACAGACCCCCCCACACCTCCACACAGATGGAGCGAGAGGGCCAGGGCATGGGACCTGCCGGTCGAAGGGCTGCCCCTGGAAGCTGGGCGTCTCCTGCAGAGTCCGGTCCTCCGGACGCTGGCTGAGCTCCCGGCTGACCTCTACAGCCAAGTGCAGAAACCGAAGTGGGGGCCCTTCACCTGGAAGAGCTGTGTCTGCAGTCACTGACCCAGAGGAGGGGCCATGGTCGAGGCTGCCCGGACAGACGACTTACTACCGGCTGGGGGCCTAATGCGACAGAAACCTCTCCTCTCACAGTCTGGAGAGCAGAAGTCCCAAGCCAAGGGGTCGGCAAGGGTGGGCTTTCCCCGAGGCCCCGGGGGCTGCCCCCTGCCTCCGCCAGCGCCCAGCTGTGGGCGCATTGCTCCAGGGCCCCGCTCCATCACCACGTGGCCGTCCTTCCTCCCATCTCTTCTCAGCCCCAGGCCTCCTCCTGGGTCCCCTCTCCCTACCAGGACACCAGTCACGCTGGACCCGGGCCCACCCTGCTATAGAGAGAGCTGCTCTAACTAAGTGCATCTCTAAGGAGCCTGTTTGCAAATAAGGCTGGGCTCCAAGATGCTGGGTGCTGGGACTCCACATATGAATCTGGGGAGGGGGTACAATTCCTCACAATGCTGGGGGGGTCGGCTTTGAATTTCTTTCCTGCTGAAATGCCTTCCAGCAGTTTATCAAAGGTAATTCATCTCTTTTCTTCTCCTCCCTCTTGGCAACCCAGCACGGGCTGATTCTAATCTCCTTTGTTAGCACCCCTGTTCTGTGGTTCTGGCTCACCTCTGAGCTGGGGGAGGGGAACGCGGCCGCCGTGGACCCTGCCCTGCTTGCTAGTCAGCGCCCCCCTGCCCCAGACCCCTCAGCCTCCAAGCAGTCACCTCATCCCCCCCACGGCAGCCTGCCTTTGTCCCCGTCCTGGCATGACATGGCCCGTGAAAGCCCAGGCTCTCCGTGCACCGGAGGATATTTTCAGCCAAAAGAAAAAAATCTTTTGGAGAAGGAATTTTTAAGATCTCAGAGAAAAATAATAATTGCAGACTGCACTGTTATTAAATCTATTTTTGGAGAACTTTTCAGGCTGTTCCTCCCACCCTAACTATCAGTTGTGAAAAGTGATGTGTGTTTTCACCTGCAGAGCTCAAACCCAGCAAGATTCTGGGTCTGATTTATCTATTCAGGGCAAGTGGATCTTCAGTGTCAGCTTCGCTTGCCATTACCTGCACCTCAGCAGAGAAAGACCATGAAGTCCTGAAGTCAGAGGTGGAGTAAAATCCACGCTGAGGGTGCCAGCTGCCATCACCCTGAGCGCTGGACCGCCCAGGGAGATCACGGCTGCCAGGCCAGGAAGGGGGCATCGTGGGACCGGACCCCTGCAGTGAGGGCATGCATCTGGGTTTGGGCAGCCTGGAGGGAGGGTCACCTTGCCTGGTGCGGCCCACAGCCAGCAGGAGGCCCAGGGAGATTCACGCCCCTCACTGTCTCTCCGCGACCCCGAGGAGGAAGGACTGAGCAGTCTGCAGGCGTCTGTGTGGCCGTGGTCACCGTGGGCCTGCCTGGGCCGGCTGCCTGCATCCATGCTCCCCGCCCTGGCCTCACCCTGGAAGCCCCTGGAGCTCCCTAAGTCACTTAAAAGCATGGCCGGGGGCTGGGGTCCCGAGCCGGGCGTGGTGGGGTGACGTCCTGCACTCCCGGACGGTCCCTCTGGCTGCCCTGCTGGTATCTCAGACCCGCCGTGTCCAGAGTATTTCTCCCAAGCCCTGCCCTCTCAGGCTCCTGTGATCCAGGGAACGGCACCCCTGCACTGGGTCCCCAGGACAGAAAGCAGGGGTCACCTCTCCCTCCAGCTCCGCTGGGCCCCCACCCCACAGGGCAGAGCCGGCTTCTCCACACTGAGCCTTGGCCTTCTGGCCCCCCACAAGCAAGTCCCGCTGAGACTCCGTCCGACACCTTTTCAGGACTCAACGTAGAAGCCCCCTCCCAGGGGAAGCCCCCCGATGCTCTCAGGCTGAGTCCTGCTCCAGCCTACCCCCGTCTGGCTCCCAAAGGTCAGGGGCCCAGAGGTGGAGTCTCCCAGCACCTGGCAGGCGTGGGGAGGGGGGACACAGGGAGTCACTAAAGGTCAGGGGATGGGTGAGATCTGGTGTAGCTTTGATCCCAGAAACCCAGGCGCTGCCCTGGGGTCTCGGGGTCTCGGGCGGGGCGGAGACCCGGGCAGGACCGGGCACAGCGTCAGGCTGAGCGCCCCCGCTGGTGTCTGCGTCCTCAGCCCCCCGCCCCGCCGGGCCTTCCTGCTGGGACTGTCTGCAGGGTCAGTGAGCTCTCAACACTTCTCTTTTGGCTTCCCAGGACGCGCACAAACCCACAAACAAACGCGAGTCTGCAGTGGCTTCTTGCTGTTTGCTTTGCAGTTAATGACTTTATCCATCATCTCGAAGCAGAGCCGGGACCGACCACAGGGAAGGGGTCTGGAATCGTCCCCAGAAGGCCAGACCAAGGAGGGCTGGAGATCTGGCCTGACGGTGGAAGGGGCCTCAAAGCAGGAGAGCGCAGGGCGGGCCGGCCGGGAGCGCAGTTTCCTGTCGCTGTGGGTCCTCCCCGTGCTGACGGAGGCCTGAGGGACACGTGGGAGGTGGCAGCCCCTCTACCAGCCCCCAGAAACCTCAGGGGCTTCCACGAGGGTCCTCAAGGTCTTTTCGGCCAGCAGTGTTCAAACTTTGCACCAGAACCTCACAGCGTTTGTGAAGGAGAAAACACACACACAACTTCCCTCCCAGTCAGAGTCCCCAGATAGAAGTACAAATTAAAATACAGGATGCCCACTTAAATTTGAATTTCAGCTAAACAATGAATACTATTTTAGTATAAGTGTGTCCCATAACATTTAAGATAAACATACACTAAAAAGTTGAAGTTATTTATCTGATCACAAATAATCAGAGTAAATGAGGAACCCTGTATTTTATCTGTTTGAACACTTCCCTCAGGTGTCCAGCATGTCCCCTGGCACATCTCAGAGGCCACCTCCATGGAGCTCTTGGGACCTCCCAGCGCTGCTTGGAAAGAAATCTCTGCCCTCTCTGGAGAGGCTGTGCAGTTTGTTCATAGCTGTTTGGTTCTGCAGACTTCTGAACTTGCAAGAGGCAAACAGCCAGCTGGTGGCAGACAGAGGCCTGAAGCCAGGTCTCCTGCCCATCCGGTCATCTATCCACTGTCCATCTGTCCATCCCCCATCCAGCCCCCGTCCATCCTTCCTTCCATTCATTTATCCATCCATCCATTCATCTTCCCCACGCCCCACCACTCATCCATCCACCCTTCTATCCATCCACTCTATCTACCCATTCATCCTCGTATCCATCCACTATCCATTCAGTCATCCAGCCAGGCAGCCAGCTAACCCACAAACATTTATTCAGAACAGACTGGGCTCTGGGGCCTCGTACAGCTGCTGGGAAAACAGAAACAGCAAGATGGAGTTTACGTGTGCCGCGGACTTCACGATCCATTGAGAAACTAGCAGTGTTCTAGGATTAGTGCTCTAATCTAGGGGTTGTGGAGTACCCTGGGCGCCCTGGAGTAGGGAGGCATCATCCTGAAAGTGATCCTGGGGCTGTGTCTCACAGAAGCCCAGGGTGTTTGCTAAGAAAGAAGCCTGGGAGGCGCTCCAGGGAGCGGCAGGGCGGGCGTGGAGCTGTGCGCGCCTTTCCCCGCCCACGGACCGAGTTTGCTGCAGTCTCAGACCTGGGCTTCCCCTTTAGCACCATTGACATCTTTGAACAAGCCACTTCTCCACTGAGCTACATCCCTGGCCTCTACCCACTGGATGCCTGCAGAAACTGTGATGACCACAAGTACCTCCAGGCATTGCCCGACGTCCCTTGGGGGCTAAAGTTGCCCTGGGGTTGAGACGTTCTGCGTTAGAGGCTAGAGAGGCAAAGACTAAAAAAGCGCATCTTTTTAAAGGAGCTCATGGTCTTCCCAGAACCTTGGTGGCACAGAAGTTGGTGGGGATGGGATGAAAAGCAAGCCTGCTACAACAAACCATCGATTGCAATGGCATCTGAGACTCTCGAAACCACAAGCACAGGCCTGGAAAGTGTAAAACTATTCAGGCAGGGTTAACAATATGAGGTAGATTGCTACTCTTAAATATATATCAATAATATATATGTGTGCATGTATATGTAAACGGTCAATAGCATATTGAATTTTTTCACAGTGTTTATCCAGCATTATTTGCAGTTGGTCTGTATTTGATTAAATGCCATCATCTTTTATGTACGAGTTACATAAGTAAATAGAAAAATCATTTACAGTCCAACGCCCCATGAAAAATTAATCTCAGGTCTGTCCCACACGGCCATTCTGAGTTGAGCGTGTGGCTCCCTGAACGTCAGGCGGGGGCGGGGCTGTCATCTGAGATGCTCTGCAAACTCCATTTCTCCATCTTAATAAGCTGGAATCTTCAAGAATGTTCCTCGAATGTGTGGACTCAAAACTACAGTTGATGGTTTTTTAATCAAGTAAATCTTGCAGAAGTTTCAAAACAACAAATTATTTAGTATGTTGCCAGACCGGAAGCTTCTCCTGGGAAATCACTTTCTTGGTTGTAACATTACCAGAGTGTGAAAGCAAATCCGCTGCACTGGGGGCTGGCACGCCCCCAAGGGCTCCGGTTTCACCCCCGGAGGGACTCTGGAAAGAGAGGGCCTGACTGTTTCCCTCTGAGCCTCGGCCTGGCTCTCAGACCAGGACACCCTCTGGGCTGGCCCTGCCATCCATGCACGCCGTGCTGGTGAGTTCCAGATACGCGCCCCCCACCCCCATTCAGCCCACAGCGTGGCCCCCGGGCCAGGCAGGGTGGTGAGTGCAGAGAGAAGCCGTGCTGGTCCTCTTTCCAGGAGCTCCTCTGGAGCCGTCAGGAGATGCGGCCACTGCCTGCAGCATCAGCTGGCTTTGCTCCCCACCCCCAGTAGCGGCCCGAGACACTCTGTGACAGTAGACGCTGTGACCTCTGCCGTGACAGAGGGTCACAACTGGGTGACCTGTGACAACACAGCTCCGTTCTCTCCCGGTCCCGGAGGCCAGACGCCTGAAAGCAAGGGCGGGTCCTTCCCACCGCCCCCAGCTCCTGGAGGAGTGGCTGTGGCTGCTTCACTCCTGTCTCTGCTCCGCCCTCTCCTCTCCTCCCTGAGTCTCCCCCCACGTCACTTATAAGGACACTCGCCCTCGGGTTTAGGGCCCACTGGGGTGATCCTGGGTGATTTCATTTTGAGACTCTTAGCTTAGTGACATCTATAAAAATCCTGGGACTCCCACCTATAAGATTTCACTCACAGGTCCCAGGAGGGCACCATTCACCCCAGGACACCTTCCCCTCCAACAGAGGGCCCTGCTCCAGACTCAGGCTTTGCTGGGGTCTTTTCTTCCTCGGTTCCCAGGGTCTCGAGTGTTGCTTCCTGTCCCTGCTGGAGCGTTAGCTTCTGTCCCCCACCACATTCTACTTACATGTGGGTGCTCCCTCCAACATGCCCCAAAGGGGCATCACTGAACTTTAGACAGATGCTTTCTCGGCTCCTGGGTTCACTGGCCAGTACTGCCTCTCAGCCTCTGTACACTCAGGAGTGGCCATGGGATTGGACGTTTGTAGTCGAGTTGAGCTTTTCCCATGCAGGGCCATAAAATTTTCCCAGTTAGAACCTCTCTGACTTTATTAGGGGCTTCCCTGGTGGCTCAGATGGTAAAGAATCCACCTGCAATGCGGGAGTCCCGGGTTCGATCCCTGGGTCGAGAAGATCCTCTGGAGAATAAAATGGCAGCCCACTCCAGCATTCTTGTCTGGAGAATCCCATGGACAGAGGAGTCTGGTGGGCTACAGTCCCTGGGGTCTCAATGACTGAGTGACTATCTTTTCTTTCCTGACGCTATTCCTTCCCAGCACGACCCCCGGCCCAGTTCACCCTCTGTGTCTCCATCCCCTTCCAGCATGTTGACTTTGGAAGCCACGGTTAAAGGGACAGGAAGGAAGGTAGGTATGCCTCTGAGTTTCCACCCAGAGAAGGCTGCCTCCCAACAGGAAGCCCCACGTGGAAAATAGACACATGTGGGGCTTGGGTATCATACGTCAACTAACACTCTTGCCAGGGATCCCATGCCAGCCCTGAACGTCTATTAAGAGTTGCTCAAGCTTCTGAGATTGGGGGCTGGGTGCCAGAGATTTCCTTCCAAAAGGTAGTTTGAATTGTTAACCTAAAACAATAAAAAGCCAGTTATTTTTTATCAGCAAAAAGGAATTATTCAGGACAGGCAAAGAATTTCAATTCGGGACACGCAGTCTACGGCCAACCACATGCAAGTTTGGCAAAGGAAAGAAAACTTTCTTGGTCGAGAAGGGGAAGTGGGAGGGGCTGTTCTAAACAAAGAGCCCATTGGAGGAAACTGGGGGTTGGAAGTGTGGTGGCTTTTCATTGGCTGTGCTGTGCTGGTCTCTCACTGGCTCAGCTGTTGCCAGGCGGGGAGAAAATCTTCCTCTCCCTGCGGGGTGGTAAGGAGTAACTTCCTTCCTGTTGGAGACTCAAGGTAGGTCTCTACCTGTTGGGATCTGTATTCAGTGGTATGTTCAGGAGAGCTCCATTTTAGTGAGGCTTCCCTTTATTAATTTTCACAGATCATCTTGTTCTTTTACTTTAAAAACCTAGTCATGCTGAGAAGCCATTACAAAAGCAACGTTAATAACATGGGAGAAGAGGCTCATTGTAAAGTTCAGTGAAAAATGCAAGATGTCTTAAAAGAATAAAAGAATTCTGTATAAGAGGACTCTGTGAGGGCAGAAGACTAGGTAGAAGGTGTGTTGTTCAGTTGCTCAGTCGTGTCTGACTCTTTGCAAACCCATGGGCTGCTGCAGGTCAGGCTTCTCTGTCCTCCATTATCTCCTGGAGTTTGCTCAAACTCTTGTCCATCGAGTCGGTGATGCCATCCAACCATCTCATCCTCTGTCATCCTCTCCCCCTCCTGCCTTCAGTCTTTCCCAGCATCAGGGTCTTTTCCAGTGAGTCAGTTCTTCACACTAGGTTGCTAAAGTTTTGGAGCTTCAGCTTCAGCAACAGTCCTTCCAATGAATATTCAGGGTTGATTTCCTTTGGGATTGACTGGTCTGATCTCCTTGCAGGCCAAGGGACTCTCAAGAATCTTTTCCAACACCACAATTTGAAAGCACCAATTCTTCGGCGCTCAGCTCCTTTCTGGGTGGAATGTCAGCAGTGGCCACCACACTCTCCATGCTCTTTCCTGCTACACTTTGGCGTTTGTGTTATTTCCTATCGCTGCTGTGACCAGTCATTGTAAGTGCAGCAGCTTAAACCAATGCAGATCCATTCTTTCAATGTCTGGAGGTCAGAAGTCTAAAATCAAGGCGTCCGCTGGGCTGGTTCCTCAGGGAGGCTAAAGAGGAGGATCTGTTTCCTTTCTTTTCGCAGCTTTTGCCAGGATTCACAGGTTTGGAGGATTAGGACACTGCCATCTTTGGGGGCCATTATTCAGTCCACTAGCATATTTTCTGATTTTCCCATAATGAATACATATTATCTTAAAATGCACAAAAATATTTAATGCACATTGTGTAGCAGACCTGGTGATGCCCTAGCAGTGTTGGGCTTGTGTATTTGTTTACAGTTAAAAGTGCTTAGCAAGGCATCCAAAGTCCCCCTAGTCCAGCTCACTCTTCCACTTCAGCTCCAGGAGCATGCATCCCCCATTTCTCCAGAACCTTCTCTGCCTTGCTCTCCTAATTTTTGCATCTCCTAATTCTTCAGCCCACCTCTGGGACACATCCCACCTTGATCCTCCTCTCTCCTCCTGCCAGCACTCTTGCCTGGACCACCAGGAAGAGCTGTGCTCCCCCGCCCAGCCCCCAAAGCCCAGCCCAACAGAACTGCAGGCAGAGCTGTGAAGCAGAGCCCGGGCCACTCCGCGCCTGCTCCTGCCTCCCACCCTCCCTGACCTTGACCTGGAAAGAGCCGGCAGACTCCACACCTCCACTGACACCACCTCTTCTGGGAAGCCCTCCTGGGCTCTAGCAGATGGAGTTTGTCCCGCCCTGCTTGCATCTCTCAGCCCCCCGCTCTGAGCACCTGGGAGTCGAGCCCAGGGCTCTGACACCCGCCCCGAGTGGCGCAGGCAGCAGACGGCACAGCCAGGCGGGGCTCCCACCGGCTGCGGGGCCCGCTTCTGTCTTAAGCGTGTTGTTCAGAGCCACCAGTGGCTGCAGCTCGGTTTCCATCTCCTCCACTGTTCACACTGACCTTGACAAATCCTGCCCCAACCACAGGTCTCTGCCCCAGCTTTTCTGGATCATCCCCTTCCTGAAGCAGGCTCTTGGTTTCCCTTTCACCTGGCAGATTCCCCGCGTTGCCTCGACCTGGCTTCCCCCACTTCCTTCCCCTCTTGATCCCCTGGGCGCAGGTGACCAAATGCAGCCTCCAGCTTCTGGACACCATCCGTAGACAGGTGACTCCTTGTGTGTGTGTGTGTGTGTGTGTGTGTGTGTGTGTATGTGCTCAGTTGTGTCTGACTCTTTGCAACCCCGTGGACTGTAGCCCACCAGGCTCCTCTGTCCACGGGACTTTCCAGGCAAGAACACTGGAGGGGGTTGCTCTTTCCTTCTCCGTGTCGGTTCTGGACCTTGCCAAGGCGCTCCGTCTCAGCTGTCCCCTGCAGCCCACTCCCCGAGTGGCCTCCACTTGGAGACGGCCCCACCGCCTGCCCCGTCCAGTCATTTCTTCCCCACCCACATCTTTGCATCTCCTAATCTTTCAGCCCACCTCTGGGACACATGCCACCTTGATCCTCCTCTCTCCGGCTGCCAGCGCTCTTGCCTGGACCACCAGGAAAAGCTGTGCTCCCTTGCCCAGCCCCACAGAACGGCAGGTGGAGCTCTGGAAGAGGGCCCAGGCCACCGCACGCCTGCTCTGCCCGCACCCTCCCCTGATGGCGCAAAGCCCCCACTCCTGCCCCCTCTTCAGGGGCCCACCACCCACAGTCACCCTCCAGCCAGCCATGTTTCCATGTCAGCCGGATACGTCGTCTCCCAGACTCTGAACACACTGGGAAATGACTGCTTTATCCCCTGTCATTGTCTCTTTCCCGACCCACCCCTCCCACCTCCTCCCTCCCGCCCCCCACCTTTTCCGTCCCATCGCCCAAAGCATCCTTTTCGTTTGCCACAGTCTCTCCCACTTGGCACAAAGTGGGTAATGCAGTAAATATGCATTATACTTCAGAGTCAGTTAGGAAAAAACAGAACTGAGATGCAAAGTGGTGAATGTCCCAGGACAAGGCCTCCGGGAGACCCTCTGAACCCAGGCTTACGACGTCTATCTGCCTGGAGGTGGCTCCGCCCTGGCCACGTCCCCCCAGCCCCACGAGGAAGATGCCTGGGTAATCGCCCTCGCCCCACTGCTCATCTGCTCCCCAAAGCTGCTGAGGAAAGAACAGCCTTTGATTTGCTAAAAAATGATTGATTTGACTCAGTTTGAAGCAGCATGAGTCATTTTAATTAGCAAAGTCTAATACTGTTAGAAACGATTTCTGCAAATGTTAGCAGCTCCATTTTTTGTCTCTCCAAAGTCACTGCAGTGAAGAGACAGATGCGGCCCAGCCAGAGCCCTGGAGTGACCCTGCGGAGAGCGGGGCCCGTGGTGAGTTACGCAGACCCTGGCGGCCTCGAGGGATTGTGCTGGGGCACGGCCCGCCCCATGTCAGGCCTCCAGGAAAACACCACTTTGACAGCTGCTGGGGACACTGGGCTTGGTCAGTGCCGTTCAACACCTGTGGGCGACTCGCATACCTGGCATGGGGTCCTGATTTCAATTGGCACATGCAACAGCCCTGGGACCCTGGCAGCGTCCCCTCCCACCTGTGAGCTGGGGATGGGCGTGAGGGTCCAAGGTCCACCCCGGTGAGTGGCCCGGTGGGGTGCCCACCCCTCCTCCAGGGCTGGTTCCAGAGCACTGTGGGGCTGGACATTGGCCACCTCTGGTCTAACAGAGCCCCTGTGTTTTGGTCAAGCTTGGCCTTCTGCTCGGCTCTGACCGACACCCAGACGGGGCCTTGGCTGGGCCTGTTTTCACGACTGGTTTGTCCTCGCTGTTGGCCTCGTGCCCCCGAGGGCAGGACCCCTTTCCCTTGGCACAGTGCCCGGGACTCGGGGGCATCTGTAAAATAAATGAACAAGAAGATTAATTCACAGGGTGACGTTAAGGATTGAGTATGACACCAACCAGGGTTCTTGGCCTTCCCCAGTCAGTCGAAATTGATCAGAGGCCAGACAAGAGATTCAGGCAAGGCTTGATGGGGCCCCTGCCGCAGCAGAGGGAGGCAGGAACAAACAGCCCCCCTTGCTTGCTCGCTGAGGGAGTTGAGCTGGTTCCTTATACGAGGCAAGTAGGGGTGTGTCCAGGGTTTGGCCCAGAGCGGCGGTTAGGAGGCTTGCCCACCCCTGAGGTGGTGTTGAATGCAGCGGCCACGCCCAGCAGACCCTGCTTTTTTGCTTTTTTGGCTGCTGGTTGCTCAGCAGTGGCCATGGGGTTTTTGGTCTTTTTGTAGCTTGTCCATAATTTGCCCAAACTGCACACGTGAGCGTGCTCGCTGTTATTTTTAGGCCCTTACAGTCTGTGTTTTGTTTCTAGAGGAGACATGTGTCTGTGTGCAAGCACTGCAGCGCGGGTCCCAGGTCCCAGCCTGTCCCGGGTCCAAGCTTCTAGAGCCTGGCCCCCCCGCGATGCCTGACAGTTACTCAGTCAGCGTTGCCGTAAGGAGAAGGGAGCGGGGAGGGCGGGGTGCTCTCTTCAGACGCAGTGCCACACTCAGCCGTGCTGCATCACAGCAGGTCCGCTCACCCCGCCCAGGACACCGGTGCTGCAGACCTTGGGCCCCGCCTGGTTCCCAGGAACAGCCAAGGCCCCGCGCGGTGACAAGCGGCCTTTCCTCCGAAGCCGCACTCCAAGCCCTGGCAGGAGGTCTTTAAGGGCCGAGCTCTGGAGCGGATCACACCCTCTGCAGTCTCTCAATCCCCTCTACCCCTTGTGGTCCATGATTAAGAACGCCACCCCTGCATGAGTCTGCCTGGATGAGAGGGTGCCCTGAGGCTGAAACGCCTCCTTCCCAGGGTGGGCCCGCAGCCCAGACTCCCAGACGCACGGCCCCCAACCACCTGCCCTTGGGTGCGCTGGGCTGCGTCCAGCCCTCTTGCGGCCCCAGAGCAGGGAGGGTCTGGGTTGTGGGGAGAGCACTGAGTATATAGACCCGCGGGAAGGCCGGGGTTTATACAAATTACTCTTTGATGGCTTCCCAGGTGGTGGTGGTGGTAAAGAACCCCCTGCAGGGCAGAAGACTAGAGTTCCATCCCTGGGTCGGGAAGATCCCCTGGAGGAGGGCATGGCCCCCCACTCCAGTATTCTTGCCTTGAGAGTCCCGTGGACAGAGGAGCCTGGTGGGCTACAGTCTATGGGGTCGCTAGAGAGTTGGACAGGACTGAGCGACTGAGCCCACACACATGCTCCCTGACACATGCTGGAGATGCAGGTTCTTCTCCAGCAAGGCTGGGAGGCGATCAAGGGAGATAGGAACTGAATCTACGGTGGGGATGAGACCCCCCACGCCCCCGCCCTGCCACTGTGGGTCTGCCAGAACTAGGGGCATCCGCTGTTCCTCGCTGGAAAACAGATGACGCTTCCTTCCAAGATGATCACAACCTGTGACCAGGCCCAGGCGACTCAGCTTTCCAAGAATCCGCCAGGCAAATCCTTCCTAGGCGCCGACTGCAGCTTTCAAAGCTCTCTCATATCTGTTCTCTCATAAAAGAAAAGAAGGAAAAAAAGCCACTGTTTGTTGAGCACTTGGTGTGTGCATGCCAACAGCCAAGCAGAGAGACTTAGAAGAGCAGGTCTCATCCAGCTATGCTGTAGGTGAGGCCTCGTCATGGCGATTGTGCCAATGAGGAGACTGAGGTGCAGAGAGGTTAATCCACCTGCCCAGGGCTCCCTTGGTGGCTCAGATGGTAAAGAATCTGCCTGCCAATGTAGGAGACCTGGATTCGATCCCTGGGTCGAGAAGATTAAGATCCCTTGGAGAAGGGCATGGCAACCAACTCCAGTATTCCTGCCTGGAGAAGCCCATGGACAGAGGAGCCCGGCGGGCTGCAGTCCACGGGTCTCAAAGAGTCGGACACAGCTGAGCGACTAGCACAACACGGGGTCACACAACAAAGAGGCCGAGATCCTGGCCACATCTCGCTGCTCCCCAAACCACACCCTTTGGCCTCTGCCCAAGGCTCCTGACCGCCTGCCTGATAAATGACCCAGAGCTCAGCTTTCCTGAAATCAGAATCATGTTGCTGGGCAGAGGTGGTGACAGCCTGGTGTTGGCGATGTGGGTAGCAGGCGCTCGTTATGTCCTGGTATTTCTGAAGATGTTCACGCAGAAAAGTGAAAAATGAGTAATAAACTCTAAAGGTGCCCAGGTCATGCCTAGAGCTGAGGACCACGTCCCCTAGGCCTGGGACCTCAGTGTCCAGAGTCTTCAAAACTTTAGCTAAAATGGCAAAGGGACAGTTAAAGCCAACCTTTGCTGCAAAGAGAATTTAATCTGTACCTTTTCTCATCTTCTCCTGGGCTTCAGGGCTCAGATTGGGCGGGGGGCGGGGGGGTGGCAGCAGGCAGGCAGGCGTTCTGCCTGATCCACAAATAGACAGCCTGGTGGTCCATACTCTTGGATGCCACTGTTTCATCCTTAGAGGCACCAGGATGAGCAGGGCACCTGCAAATGCTCATCTGTGCTCCAGAGAGAACTGGGTTGGCTGCCAGGCAGAGCTGGGGGTCAGGACTTCACAGCGAGAAGCTCCGAGGACACTGGGGTCCCAGGAGGCCCTGGCCCTTTCACAGCGTGCTTGGCAAGGCGGTGGGGGGCCTGCTGCCCACAGACAGCGCGCCCTTGGGCAGGTGACAGCGCCTTTGTGCCTCAGCTGTCTCATAGGTGAAACCAGAGCGTCCTGAGGGTGAGATCACATAAAAGATGGTCTGACACACAGTAACGTGGGTCACTCAGTCCTGTTGACTCTTTTCAACCCCTTGGCCTGTAGCCCTTTGGCCAAGGGATTCTCCAAGCAAGAATACTGGAGTGGGTAGCCATGTCCTTCTTCAGGGGATCTTCCCGACCCAGGGACTGAAGCTGGGTCTGCTGCACTGCAGGCAGACTCTGCCATCTGAGCCACCCAGCACTTGGTAAAAGCAGTCGCCCGGAGCGTTAGCTGGCTGTGTGAACCTGGAGTAGGGCGGGGGCAGGTGAGTCTGTGCACCACTTTTCGAGAAGTCTAGAAGCATCTAGGAGATGCTCACGAGGCTGACGCCCACAAAACAGCAACAGGCCCACCCTCCCCAAGGTCCCTGGGGAAGGCCCATGTGGGGAGGCAGTGTGGCCCCACGGGTGGACCTCACTCCTGCCCTGTAGCCAGGTTCTTCCAGTACAGAGCCCCAGGGTTCCAGGGGGAGGCTGAAGAAACGGGGCTGCTCCGTTTTCTTGGGAGCCTGGAATCTCACTGGAGATCATCACGTGACAGTTCAAGGCGTGTCCAAGGTAACGTCAGGCCCGGAGAGCGATGCCCACACCCCAGGCCCTGCAAGAGGCACAGACGGAGGCTGAGTCGGCAAGTGCGTGGGGAAGTGGAGCCGGCAGTCTAGTGGGGGACACGGCCGGCGCGTAGCTGCTCCCCTTGGATGCCCGCAGTCCCGACCCGGAGGCGGACGCTGCCCCCTCCCCACTGGGGGAAGCGGTGACCGCCTCATCTCCCTCGTCACTGGAGCCCAGGCTCTGCAGAGGGCCACCTGGAACCTGTGTGTGTCCCTGGAGCCCCCAGGCCCAGGAGGTGCAGCGTGCACACGCCACCTAATTCAATTCCAAATCCCTGGCTGCCAGGCCACAGAGGGGAGGTACAGTTTTAGAAATCAGAACGCTGACAAAAATAGGCTGTTGGTGGGTCCTGATGGCAGAGGACGTTCCAGGCTCTTCAGCAGGTGCTTCGGGCAGAGGGCGGTCTCTCCTAACGATGCTCTCGCGTGAAGTGCAAAGGGACAAAGCACGCCCCTCATGCCCAGCAGGACTGGCGGCAACTGCTGAGCGACGCACGCGCACCCTCGGCTCCGCTTCCGCGTGGCTGCCCCTGGTGAAGAATGCAGACTGGGCAGCTGAGCCCGGGTCCCTCCACTGTGCACCAGGCCCCGCCCACCGGGACCCTGCCCCACTCACCTTGGCCTGGCCCCGCCCTCCGGGACCCGGGCCCCGCCCACCGGGACCCCGCCCCACTCAACTTGCCCTGGCCCCGCCCTCCGGGACCCGAGCCCCGCCCACCATGACCCGGGACCCGCCCACCTGGACCATGCCCCACTCACCTTGCCCTGGCCCCGCCCTCCGGGACCCGAGCCCCGCCCACCATGACCCAGGACCCGCCCACCGGGACCCTGCCCCACTCACCTTGCCCTGGCCCCGCCCTCTGGGACCCGAGCCCCGCCCATCAGGCCCTGGCCCCGCCCACCGTGGCCCCGGGTCCATCAGCCTTCCCGTTTCCCCTGGCGCTCGCCTCTAGTCCACTGGTCTCCTCCAGTTCCTGTTCACAGGGGCCTTGGCTTTCTCCCAAAGACACCCGTGAGTGAGTCCCCTTGAAGAGCAAGATCCTTTGTTTTCTGCCCTCAGGCAGGTGTTAGGAAGTCGGGGCACCAGTGTTAAGAAAAAAATGTCCCGAGGCTCTCTGCATGGGGGCGGGGGAGGGGGCGGGGCGGGGTGGGGGAGGAGCGGAGGCGGCCCCTGCTCTGCTCGGCCGTCTCATCACCTAGCTCAAGGACGAAAATCCTTTGTGACATTCAAGGCTGTTTCTGTGCTGAAAGCAAAAACACGCTGCCGGGGCTTAATAAGCCTATTTAATTAAGCTGTAAGTCTTAAAATTAAATTACAGTGAAATCCATACATCCCTTTGAACAAGTGTAAATGAGGGCGGCAGCCGAGTCCCTGGGCTGGCTGATGGGAGCCGCCCTCCATCTCCCCTGGCTCCTCTGAGTGGACCTCGTGGCGCTGACAGCCCGGGGCGCTGCGCCAGCCTGGGGGCATCAACCAGAAGAGCTCTGCTGTCGGCAGTGGGAGCTGAGGAGCCAGGACAGCAGCGGGAGGACGCTGGCCACGCCCCAGGGCTGGCCCCTCGGCTCCGCGGGACAGGTCCTCTTACCCGCCTGGCCCAGGAGAAACTCAGGGCGGTGGAGGGAGGCTGCACAGATGAGCCCCAGGTCCGGTCTGATCCAGGCTAGGCAACGCCTCCGACCGCTTCCCACAGTTGTCCCAAGACCACTGTTTCTCCAACCTGGAGCCTGCTCTGACCTCCACGACCAGATCAACACCCTGCTGGAGAGACTTCCCTGGTGGTCCAGTGCTTAACGCTTCGCCTTCCAATGCAGGGAGAGTGGGTTCAATCCGTGATCAGGAAGCTAAGATCTCATATGTTTCACCGCCAAGAAATCCAGAACATAAACAACAGAAGCAATTACTGTAACATGTCCAATAAA